CTCAAGAGTCTAATTCAAATTAGTAAACCATTTGTGTCTCTGCAACATGGCAAAGTAACAGAATAAGAATCCTGCTTTTAAGTGTAGCCCATATTCCCATGTATACTTATTTATTGTGCAAGCTGTAAATACAGCACTGCACTCTCCCCAGGGTGAACTGTGAAAAGAGCTGAGTTGTAAACTTAACAGTTAACAGAGCATGCCACAATTCATAGGTGTACAGAAAACAGTTTCCAGAGATGAATGTATACTGGAGATGAGAACCCACTGCATTTGTGCCTGGAAACCCAGTGCAGCCCTTGGCCCAGTCCACTGTGGTGAGCAGAAAAACAGAAAGAAAGTGTACTTACCACAGGCTGCTAAGAGATCACTGTGGAGTTATTCAGGGCTCCAAGTGGAGCCATTGTTCCTCAGTGTGTTTATAAATGCTCTGGAGGCAAAGCTGAGAAGCATGCTAACAGTTTGCAGCTGAGTCAGGGGAAATGAGGAACAGCTGTTGTCTCTCCCCAGGTCACCAGGCCAGTGTTTAAGCAGTTTGGGTAAGAACCAACCTCCCTTCCTTCCTCCCTCCTGTCCCATTTCTCTTGCATCCCATGTTACAGAACATGCTTTACACACATTCCCACCTGCAGTATGATAGCACGAAATGTTTTCTCCTTTATTGTTACCTTTTACACTTTCTTCATACAACTTAACAACTCTTCTTTATCCATGCAGTACCCACTCTTCTTCCATTCCTCCCGTAACTGCTGCAGTGCTGAGCCAATTTCTTTCCCACAGGTTATGCCCATTTTCCGCAAATCATGGCCACTGACAGGAAAAGTAGGAACAGTCCACTGCTGCATTTCTTTTAAAAGCTGCTCTTCTCCCTGGTACTTCAGGAGTTCTAATATTTTGGAAATCGTATTTGCTTCCCTAGACTGAAAAAAAAAAAAGAGGATGTATTAGGAGAAACTAGAGAACAATTCAAACCCTGAACATCTGCACCTCTCTCTCTCATTAGTTTTAAAACTCAGCCTGGGACTGGAGAGTCCAGCAAATGCTTGAAAACGTCATGAACTTCGTTTAGTAGCTTTTTAACCATTATCTTTAACCTACTGCTGGAGAGGGACTCACACCTTCCCTGGGGGAGGAAGTCCTCTCTGCTGACACTGACCTCTTTCACCTCAGTTACTGCAATAAAAGTGCAGAACTTCACTTTCAGATGACTTGAAATTCATTCTGGAAGATGTTGTGTGTTTAACAGTACTTGGTGAAGAACACAAAGCACTGTTCCAGGCACTATGCAGACTCTGAATACGCTACTGAAGGATTTGAATTTCACATGAAATCCTTTGAGGTCCAGATCCTGTCTCATGCTTTAATGCAGGAGGAGAACTCAGTGGAGACAGTACAGCAAACCCTCAGTTCCCAGCTGTGTTCAGAGGCCACACTTTCAGCTGACCCTGTCCATCCTGACTGGTTTTTAAGTCTAGTAAAAACGTTGCTAGAGAAGTCAAGCTGCTTGGATCAGCTAAGATTGGTTTTCAGTTTTAATATCTATTTTTAAAAATTTAATTCAGTCAAACAACAGAAGCTAAGAAACTGTTTATCTCCTTGCAAAACTAAGCTCTGCTAAAGAACAGACATCTCTGTTGCTGCAAAAACACGACAGGACATTGCAAAAACACTTGTCTATTTCTGCTCTCCTCTCTAGATTCAAAGCAAAAGGAAAAAGCCCCCAAAACTTTAATTTATGGGATCTATTATTGTTAATACTGGATGATATTCCTGCAGTTAATGTAGTGATACTGCACTGGAAGCAGTCTAACTGTGGCTACCAGTTCTTGTTAATACAGTTCATCTTCCTAATGCAAACATCACCATCTTGACAATCCTGCCGCCCATGGCTGCTTCCTTCCTGCCGTGGAAGGGCTGCTCAGCTTGTAAGGCCCATGGCTTTCTTTGGCACTCTGTAAAACTGGAAACTCGTGGTTTACTCGAGAAGCCAAGTGCAGCAATATCAAGTACACTTACATCCATTATGAAGTCTTGATATGGTTTCAGTGGTTCTGGCCCCGTCGCTTTAGTTAACTCCTCACGGTGTTTCAGCAGAAAGAAGCCAAGGTTCTTCTCCTCTTTTGAGATTTTCAGCCTCAAATCAAGGTTTGTTACATCATCCTTCACCTTGAACAATGACGTCAGAACAGTCATGGGTTTTGGACACAAATTTGTAGTATTTATACTGACTCTGTCAAGTTCCTCCAGATTTCCATTACCTGGTAAACCTGAAGAGAAAAAGTTCAGTAAGGCGTTAACAAGAAACAGGGACATTAACAAAGGTAAAAACAAACGAGTTTCATCTCCTTTGCTGTGCTGCAATTCCTTGATTTCCTATTCCTGCAACATTTACAGTCATCTAACTTTACCTATGTATTGAGCGACGTCCAGCTCATACAGAAGTCGAACCAAATGATTTACGTGGTTTCCAATTAGAATTTTTTTCAGTTCCACCCAAATCCTTTCTCCTGATATCCCAGCCAAACCTTTGGCATTTTCTTTAATTGCTTGCAGGGTGCTCGATTCGTGATCGCCAGGTTTTTCTGCAATCCTCCCATAAAACCTGCCCCAAGAAAACCGCTCCATGTTAATTTTGCCAGTCATTTCTTAATGCTACTCACAGAATTAACTCATGGCAAATTACATTAAAATAGTGGAGGACAAAAACATTATAGTTTCCGAAATCTCTGCAACATTTTTCTACCGTGAAGCTTAAAGCTCCTGCCTGCTCTTTCAATTTCACCAAGAGTACTAAAAGAGAAAACTGCAGAGAGATTATATGAGATTATATGAGGTGCAGAAGTTCAGTGCCAAAAAAAAAGGCACAAGGTAGGTTACGTTGTTACACTGTCCAAAGCAAATAGATCAATCCTGATCAGATTTACTCTCCTCTCCCAGACTGCATGAAGCTTCAGGGCAAAGTAACTGCACTTCTGTTGGTTACATGTCAACAGATAGAGGTCAATAAACTTATTATTATTATTATATTTGTTTTAAATTATACTTGTAACAGTACTGTTACAAAGACTGTTTGCAAAGGACAGCGTATTTGTTGCTCGCATAGAGAAAACAGAAGCCAAAAATATGCTTTTCTCATCAATTTTTGAGGAAAAAACATTGTCTGAATTTTGATTTACAACCTTCTCCATGGAACTCCATTCCTACGTCTCCAATGAGTCATCAGAAGTACTTATTTATACCATCTCTTCATCCAGACAAGGTGAAAGCTGGTACCTGAAATATCTTAGGATTCGTAAATAATCTTCTTGTATTCTTGCGCTTGCCTTTCCCACAAATCTTATTTTCTTGTTCTTTAAGTCTTCATATCCATTAAAGAAATCATACAGCATCCCATCCAAGCCTAGAAGATGAAAAAACATCAACAGGAATTTAGAAACACTCTTATTTGAAAATGCAGAGGACAAATGGTGTCACTTGCTGTGGGTTGCCATATCTGTGCAGACCTTTTGGCTGACAGCAGTATAAACCAACAGAACGCAAAAAGGAGAGGGAAATTTTACTGGCATGATTTGAAAAGTGGTGTTTGATCTACGTATTTTCTTTTGCATAATTTTACCTAAGAACATGGAATTGATGGTCAGATCCCTCCTTTCAGCATCCTTTTCCCAGTCGGTGGTGAATTCCACCTCTGCGTGGCGTCCATCGGTGACAATATCTATTCTGAGAGTAGTAATTTCAAAATTCTGTTCATGGAGCTGAAAATCCCACAGAGATCATTATTTCAACGTGGATACAGATACAAAGGCTATCTAATTTTCCTGCCCCACGTCGGTTTGCATGTAGGCAGCTGGAGCACAAACTGTACACAAACACCCGCTGTGCTTCCACACGGAGCTGACACCGAAACTCACAGATGCCTCAGAACAGAGCTCATTTCCACATAAGCCGTCTGCAGGAAGGTGCCTGCAGGCTAAAAGCAAAGGAACGTGCAGACAGAGGAAGCAGGACCCGAGAAAGCAGGAAGCATCGAATCGGCTTCCCCACCTGATACAGATTGTAAGAGAAAACCCACAGCCCGACCGCGAACCAACCCTGGCCGTGATGGTTCCGTGTTTTTCTCCTTTGTTATTGATCAGCCGAACCCCAGCAGACGTGAACATCTCCTTCATCTCTTCGGGTGTAGCCGTAGTGGCGAAATCCACATCTTGAGGCGTCATTCCGCTCAGCAAATCCCTCACGGCCCCTCCCGCGATTCTCAGCTCGTAGTTCTTCTTCTCAAACAATTCTGACAAGGAGAAGAAAACAGTCGAGAACAAAAACGGAGCCGCCACAGCCCCCACCTGTGAGGGACCCGGAGCCGCCACAGCCCC